ATCTGGCAAGAGCAGAAGCAAGAGAGTGAGGGGAAAAATGCTACACACTTTTAAACAACCAGATCTCATGAGAAGTCTCTCACAATGGCAAGGACAGTACCAAGAAGAATTGTACTAAACTATTCATGAGACATCTACCCACAATCAGTAGGTTAACAGAGCTAAGATTCAAGCCTGGTCTATCTGACTTCAAAGCCCAGGTTTTTCTCTACTGTGCCATTTATTTATTCATTCAGCACTTAGTTACTGACCATCTGTTATGTCATGAACCAATCACCTCCCACCAAGCCCCTCCTCCAACACTGGGGATTACATTTCAGTATGAGATTTGGGTGGGGGCACACATCCAAATTATATCAAGGAGTAAATATGGGAAGACCAGGACACCAGTTAGAGGCTACTGCAGTATTAAGAGGTGACAATGGGCTGAACTACAGTGGTGACAATGGAGACAGAGAGAGGTGGAGCTGCCCACAGTCACACAGTCAGTAGGTTAACAGAGCTAAGATTCAAGCTTTGGTCTATTTGACTTCAAAGCCCAGGTTCTTCTCTACTTTGCCATTTATTTATTCATTCAGCATTTAGTTACTGACCATCTGTTATGTATCAGGCCTGTGTCAGATGCTGAGGATACGGCCATGAACAAAACAGATACTGCTCTAGTGTAATTTACAGTCTAGACATTAAACAAATAAGAATATAAAGAGATGTATATAATTACAAATTGGGATGAGTACCATGAATTTTAGTAGGTAATATTACCAATTAAACTACAAAAATCTTCCAGACTGTTGACAATACGAAAAAGCCACTTGCCTGTTGCATGCAAGTAAAACGCTTTAGGAAACTTTGCTTGTCAGAGTTTGATATTGAGTATGACATCCCTGGCCAGCTCATGAGCTTTGAGGCTAGTAGTCTCAAGGTCGCATTAACCCTGTGGAAATAGAATTCTTTCTAAAAGCAACTACTAACTCTTTAATTTACTTACATATCTCAATCTCAGGCAATCATCACGTATGCATTTAAAATAGCTGGGATCTTTCACAGATTCGTTCATTTGAACATCACAGCAGCCCAATGTAGAATGCAGGCAGGTTTTAATATCAGATTTCAGGGTTGAGGAAACTGAGGCCTAGACAGGTAAAGTGACTTAATCAAGGTCACCAAACTAGGAAGGCACCCAGATCCAACTCTCACTAGAAGCACCTCCAGCCAGGAAACCATGAATCTCAGATGAGACAGCTGCAGGTCACTGAGCTTGGATAAAGTCACCCAGGAGTCCCATGAAGTTCCTGAGAACAATGATCAGGGACATTAAGCAGCTTGGGAAAGGTTTCTAGAATGCAGCACCACAAGCCTGAGACACAGGTACCCTTGCCAACTCTCCCAGATTAGAACAGGTTCTCTTGGACTCCTTCCAAGTGCCTCTGACTAACAGAGAAAAGTATTTTTCCATCACAAACACTGCAGGCAGGCATCAGACTCCTGAGAGAGGAGGGCAGAGAACACATCCCAAATTCCCATATAGACAATCTATAAAGTTATTCTGATACCATGTGAACTGCCCCAGCTAAGCACCTACCACTGGGGATGTTCAGTATTGAGCAGTGTTTCTCAATCTTGACACCATTAACACTGGGGCTAGATAATTCTTTGTGATAGGGCGCTGCCCTTGCACTGTAGGATATTTAACAGCATCCCTGGCCTCTGCCCATTAGATGCCAGTAGTGTCTGTGCATAAACTCTTTTTTAAATTAATATCACACAACTAATGCCTCCCAGAATGAGACTGAGAGCAGCCCTGTACTGATGTGGCCTGCAAGTATATCCCAGGAATAATTCACCACTGGAGCTTGTGAAAACAACTAGAGTCAAATAACTCCTTGTTCCACTAATGAGCTGCTTCTGTCCCTGTGAGAAAATCTGATTCCCATTAATGTGAGCAGCTGAGTCTGATTAAATAGAAGCCCTGGGTGTTTCTTCTCAATGACACTGGGCCAGAGCACAGGCTTCCACTGCTGCTAGAAGGAACACAAAACTGGTGAATAAAATAACAGGAAACTCTCATTTACCCAAAATTCAGTACAAAAACCAGGACACTCAAATATCCCAGATTTAACCATTCTGGACTTAGGATAAAGGAGAAAGTGGCAATGTACAAAAACAAGCAATCTGAATTAACAAGCTAATTAAATCGCTGAAAAATTACCAAAAAATCATGCTCTCGAAAGGAGACAGAAACCTAGGACCTAGAAATTGAAATTCCATTTGACTCAGCAATCCCATTACTGGGTATATATCTAAAGGATTATAAATCATTCCACTATAAGGACACGTGCACACAAATGTTCATTGCAGCACTGTTTACAATAGCAAAGAACTGGAACCAACCCAAATGTCCATCGATGGTAGACTGGACAGGGAAAATGTGGCACATATACACCATGGAATATTATGCAGCCATCAAAAACGATGAGTTTGTGTCCTTTGTAGGGACATGGATGAACCTGGAAACCATCATTCTCAGCAAACTGACACAAGAGCAAGAAGATCAAACACCGAATGTTCTCACTCATAGGTGGGTGTTGAACAATGAGAACACATGGACACAGGGAGGGGAGCACTACACACTGGGGTCAGTTGGGGGGAAACAGGGGAGGGTCAGTGGCGGGTGGGGAGTTGGGGAGAGATAGCATGGGGAGAAATGCCAAATATGGGGCAATGGGGAGAAAGGCAGCAAATCACACTGCCACGTGTGTACCTATGCAACAATCTTGCATGTCCTTCACATGTACCCCAAAACCTAAAATGCAATAAAATAAATTAAAAAAAAAAAAAAAAGAAACCTGAAGCTGAGCTCCAGAGCAGCTGGGGTGACTCAGACAGTATCAGAGACATGGATGCCAACCTCCCATCCCAGGGGCTGGGCTGCTGGCCCAGATGTGGGAATCACATCAGTTATAATGCTTCAAAGCTAAAATCAAAGAAGCAACATCTTTATACCTTTCATTAGTCAACTACTTAACTAGTTAAAGGGTTTACTGACAGATTCAACCAATTCACCACCATTTGGTACTAAGTGTATTTTAATGTACTGCAATTCTTTGAAGACTGACTAACCATGAAACGCCTACCTGTGAACACCCAATCACTCAAGACTACTGCTAATTTCTATGCAACTTTTGCATGTTGTACTTAGCTCTATTGTTGTATATCTCATATTGAAATGTAGTAAAATTTCATTACAGATCTATTACCCCTAGTGGCCAGTGAACTCCTTAAGGGCAAGATTTACATCTAGTACAAGGTATAGTACATAAAAAGACCCTCACCATTTGTAAGATGGATGGAAGATAAAGTTTTCCATCTCTATATTCTTAGACTTACGCCTGTTTACATATTCTAGTGGGAAGATATGGCCCATGTCTTTTCTCCTCCATTTCTCCAAGGCTTAAGACATTGCTCAATAGGTGCCTAATAAACATTAACCTATTTGGTCAGACTCCAGAATCCAAAGACACAAAGAAGCTTTCTGTTCATGAACATCTAAGTCCCAGGAAGGAGGTCAGAAATCCTAGCTATCTACCCTGTCTTGTATGCATTTGTGTATGTGTAGTCTCCTTTAACTGTAAAGAGTTTGATGCAGGACAACAAGCACACTCTCTAATAAGGAGTGGAAATACAGAAGTGAGCAAGATTAATCTTGTGGCTTCCCGCACAGAGCTTATTGTCTGAAACAAAAGACAGATATGAACAACTGCACGCACACACAAAACCTAGCTACTATGCTCAGTGAGTCTCTTTAGGAAAAGGTTCTGTAGATAAGCCCAATCTTCAAACAATCTGAATCTCTTTGAGGAAAGTGATGACCCTCCTAATGAATGACACACTTTCCTAAGAGCATCCTCTAAAGCAGTAATATGGAAAGTTTAGTATACATCTTTGTGATACAGCCCTCTATTTCAAAATGATCATGAAATGTTTTAAAAGACCAATTAAAAGTATCATAGATATGACTGCCCGTAATCTACATTTTTGTATAGAAATATATAGTATGTGTGACTTACCAAGGATAGCCGAAGCTGACCTGAAAACCTGCAAAAACCAGAAACTCCTAAAATAAGAGTCACTAGGTATTTGGGAGTCTAGAGATGTGTGTGTAGCTAGCAAGCAGGACAGAGGTAGGCAAGAGGACTCCTGAGGACCCCTGAAGTTCAGAATACTTTGACATGATAACAGATCTTGGGAATTTCAAATTGGCTGGGGAACTCTGTGAAAATCAGCAGGCAGGAAGGCAGAGATGAATACAGGCCATGAAAAAACAAAATCTGAGGACAAAATCAAGAATATGAAGGCCAGGAAAGAACTGCCCTAAGGGAAAGAAACAAATGAAGATTCAAGAAAAGATGAAGATGCCAAAAGCTGTATGGCATGATATAAGATCTGAGGGAATATATGAGATGTCTGAACCAATACACGTAGTTTACTAGAGTCAATAAAAGTTGAAATTAGAATACTATGCCAGCTATGAATCACAATAATGCTCCTGCCTCAATCTTAAGATATTTATCTTTCACTTAACATTTTCTGATGCTTTTAATTTAGACTTAGACAGAAATGCAAATAGAGTCATCTCCTCGGCTATGACAAAGTAAGGACTTCCCAATAAGCTGGGCAAATTTCTGGGTGACGCTTGCTGCAATGGATCCCTTCTCAAAACCTCATAACTGGAAGGAGTTAACCTAACTCCTAGCTTGCCTTTTTGGGTACAAACCTGTGACCCTGAGAGGAAAAGCCACGTATCTGGCTGATGGCAGAACTACATCCCAGTATTCCCAACTCTGATCCTTAAGTTTACATCAATAAAAACCCTTTACCCCAAGCTTAATCCCCATCTCTGATCCTTAAGTTTTCATGAGTAAAAGCCTTAACCCCATGGCTGCTTAGCAACTGTCCCGCAGCTGCTCTTACCCACCATAAGCTCTCTGCTGCTCTCTCACCTGTCTGAGCAACCAGGTGTGTCCACCCACTCCAGACAGCAGTGACCTTTTCATTCTGGAAACAATGTGCTTCTATTTTCTGAGGCACAGTAAGGAAAGCAGCCTCAGTAGCCAGTTGCCCGTGCTTGTTGCTTCCCCAAACATACACCTCTCCAGCATCTTAAACACACAGAAGGGGAACAAAAGACGCGAGGGAACGTTAGTCCAAAATGATGGAAAATAACAGAGGTCTAAAAAATAAGTGGTTAAAAGAAGTTGTTTTACACTTACACTACAATGTTGAGTGGAACAAAAATTCATATACAGCATAATAACATATTATAAGTTTTTTCGAATTCTATACATAAAAAACAAGACCAAATGTTCTTAGTACTTTAAGAAATAAAATTGTATTATTTTTCTTTTCATTTTTTCATTCAACAAATATTTATTCAGCATCTACCTTGTGTATGAAACACATTTCTCTATTTTTTACATTTTTAAAATATATGCCAATACTTACTTTTGTATGGAAAAAAAATGCTTTAACTTTTCAAAATAACAAGTTAAAAGATACACTGCTTAAATTTTTTAAACATAAGATTATTTCACTGCATGCCCTGACTAGCAGAAAATATAATGCTGTAGAATCACGTCTGGATAGCACTTCAGCATGCTTTAACCTCACAATAAATCCTGTGATATAAGCAGGAATGTGACTGACTGACATTGTGATTTAACAGAAAGAGAGCAAATTCAGAGTCAAGTGACTCTGGCTTCTATTCCTGGATCTGGTAACTAGCTATTGACCTTGGACATATCACTTCCTCTCTAAGCCTTAGTTTCACCAGCTGAAAATTGGAAGGGAAGGCAGTTGGTCTAGAAGGGCAGACAATGTGACTGAAGACACTGGTAACAAGAATAACTATTAGGTGACTGTGGCAAACCAGAGAGTACATGCCTATCTAAAGGGCATTCACATTCAAAATGTTTTGTAAATGAAAGCCATACAAAATGGGGCCATAGGCTATAATTTAGACTATGCCTCGTCAGTTTATCATTCCTCAGCTTTTCCAACCCTTACAATCCAAGAATCAACAACTGCACTATCCAACACAGCAGTTAACCACCTACATGTGGCTATTAAACACTTGAAATGTGGCTAGTCCAAATTAAGATACATTGTGAGAGAAAACACACAGTAGATTGCAAAGACTTAATGCAAAAAAGAGTGTGGCTGATTATAATTTCATATAGGTTGCATGTTGAAATAATACTTTGGATACACTGGGTTAAGTAGATATATTATTAAAATTAATCCCACCTGTTTCTTTCTATTTTTTGATTTGTGGTTCATATTATATTTCTATTAGCACTGTTCTAGAAGATAAATTAATCAAGGCTGGAAGATGTTAAATTACTTTTCAAGACCACATGGTTAAAAAGGAGTCAAGTAGGGACTAGAGGCCAGGTCTTCTGCTTTCACTGCACTTTGTAGCTTCCCAATAAAGCTTTATAGTATTGCTTGCCATAGGGCAGTCTAGTATATAACCAAAAACTGATGGAAAGTCAGACAACATCATTTAACGGCATTAGACTAAGGTTCAGAAGTCTCCAGCTCAAGTTCCATCTGCTACCAGATCACTGTTTGACATTGGGCACATCACTTCACATTCTAGGTCTGTTTCCTCAGCTCTAAAATGAGGGAGTGTAAATCAGTGAAGCCTTTTTGTCACTTGGGTGACCCTGCAACACTGACATTCTGCAGTTCTATGAAGTGAATTTGGTGTATTTCATTCCCAGAGAGAGGGCAACCTCCTGAAGTTCATCAGGGTATGCAAAGTATAAAGATCTCTTACAACATAGCAAAAAAACCCCTGAGCAAAGTATCAATCCATTAAGTGGACTGGTAAGCTACAAAGATGCCACTGATGATAAGGCCTGTGTAAATGACTTCACTTACCTGAGTACATCTAAACCACCTTTTTGAAAGACAAACTGTCTTCCAGACGAGAATCATTATGCTGTTGTCTCAGCAGATAAAATTAAATTCTGCTGCAATGCCAATTAGTTACATAATCTACAACCACTCCAGAGAAAAGGTCTAAAGAGCACTGAACAAAATCCAATGTGTAACAGCTTGAACTAGGTGAAGAAAGAAAGGGCTAGTAATTTTTTTTTTTTTTTTTTTTTTTTTTTTTTTGAGACAGAGTTTTGCTCTGTCACCCAGGCTGGAGTGCAGCGGCACAATCTCAGCTGACTGCAACCTCCGTCAGCTGGGGTCAAGTGATTCTTCTGCCTCAGCCTCCCAAGTAGCTTGGGTTACAGGCACATGCCACCACACCAGGCTAATTCTGTATTTTTTAGTAGAGATGGGGTTTCACCATGTTGGCCAGGCTGGTCTTGAACTCCTGACCTCAAGTGATCCACCGGCCTCAGCCTCCCAAAGTGCTGGGATTACAGGTGTGAGCCACTGTGCCCAGCAGGGCTATTAATCTCCACAAGTTTTAGCTCACTTTCAAAATATCAAAAACCATTTCACTTTGTGAATATACTAAAAATTACTAAACTGTATACTTAAAATGGTGAATTTCTTATATATAAATTATATCTTAATAAAAATATTCAACACCTATATATAAAAAACACCATAATAAAAGTGCCCCACATATGAAATAATAAATTTGCTACCAACAAGAATTTTTAAGAAGTTGATGTTGGCAAGCAATTAGACAAACTCTAGGTTTACATAACATCAGTTGTTTCAAATTAATTAGAACAAAAGAGAAGCACCTTGTAGTGTACTTTTATTCTCAGAAAAGAATGCCTTCACCATCCCTCATTGACTATGGGGTATGAACACATCACATCTCACCCTAAGATCTCCAGTCCTTCCTCTGTAAAAGGAAGGGAGGGACCAGATACCCAGTGGAGTCCCTTATAGTTGGCATTCATTTCAACTCAACACTTTTAACAAATATTAATATATAAATCTACCTGATATGAGACACAGGTTAAAAGTAGATGCTTTTTTATTAGTTGTTTTGAATTCATTAAGTAACAAATTATCTGCAGCTCAGAATTTGCAAAGCATTTAAACTCTCACATTACGGCTCCTATGCTCTTCAAATAACTTAGTTGGACTGCATTGCAAATTTGATGTCAAAGAATGCATATCACCATTAATTTACATATATTATGGACACACCTGCATTTCTACATAAAAACATTAAGTATGGAAGTCCCTCTTCTTTGCTTAAAAAATAAAATACATTCAACTCCAAACAAAATATTATAAATCTTTCAGATGTATAGTCTCCAGTCTACCAGCAGGGGTCAGGGCAATGCGGGCCAAAGAGAAGGGATAACTCACTTTCAAGAAAATGCTTCATTGCCTTGGAAGGAAAAGTCACTAGACACTTTATACTGTATTGGCTCGGTGTTTCAAATGGAAGGATGAATGCACAGCCAAAGGGAGAGATATAGTGTAGGATTAAAAAAAGTTAAGATAGAAAAACATATCAAAGAGATGAATTAGAGAAATTTAGAGAGAAATACATAAATTAGAGAAATATATAACAAAAATATATTTTAGATTCACAAAAATATATATCTAGAGTTAGATATATAGATACATAGATTATATGTTAAGACACAAAGATGAACGATAAATAAAACAGATATATAGGTAAACAGAATAGATAGATAAATGGAAATTGATAAATGGATTAGAAAGACATAGATGGATAAAATACTTTAACATTAGACAGCTAATGAGTATACACAGGTAGAGAGCTTAGACAGTTATAATACACACCAAAATAGATTAGATGGATAAGACAGTAGCTTCCACCCTCATAATCGTAGGTATATGAGAAAACTACAAAGAACTCATGATTATATAATACACTGTGTTATCCATATATGTTATATATAAATTTACTGTTGATTATATGATTTGACAACCACCATTACCCTAAGAGGAAGATATTATTATCCTTATTGTGTAGTTAAGAAAGCAAACTCAGATAAAATGAAGTGAGCCTATGTTTGCTGTCCAGGCTTTATATGTATTATATTTAATTTCCATAACTACCCACAAAGTCTTTTACAGACAAGAAGATGGTCTCAGAAAGGAAAAGTAATTTGCCGAAGAGCATACCAGTGGTAGTGTCAGAATTCTAGCTCCAAAGTCTATGACACTCCCTCTGAATTTCAATATCTCTACTTCAAGCAGTCACATACAGAATCCTGAATGGCACGTTAAACTGTCACAGAGCTGGTACCTACCTGTTAACGAAGCTGAGTGGTCTGAGCCAGCAATAACACACATTGCTTTAGAATTCTCTAGACCTACAAAAGAAAAAAATTTCTTTTGAATTACATGTATAACAGAACAAAATGGTCAGAGAGGGGACTTTCAGCCAGCACCACCTGGGTGTGGGAGAGACTCAGCCAGTGAAGGCAGGCCTGAGTCAGCAGCACTGGCTAAGAAGATGGCTGGCACTTCTTGTAGGGAGCCTGGTAACACACCAGGGGATTGAACAATCAAGTAAATATATTCAGGATAAAGGAGCCAGATTCATCACTCCCAAAGAGGGGAGGAAACGTATAGATATGAAAAGGGGAAAAGCTAGAATCAACCATGTAATATTGGATAGTAATTGGAAAAATCAGTATAAATTCATGGTTTCTAGTAGAGATAAATACACGTAGGTGTGTGTACGTAAAAATGTGTGTGTGTGTGTGTGTGTGTGTGTCTATTTCCTAACTCTAGCGGTTGAGTGGGTCTAGAAGCAATGACATCTCATACATTCAGCTGCTATCAGATGCAAGCACTTAAATAACCCCAAGCCTCCTAAGAACACACAGCCAGAACCAGATTTTGAACTGGGCTCCTTTCTCCAAATTCAGCACTTTTCCTTCCTTAATTGCACTGCTAAAAGTGGAGACAGTCTGTGCTGACATGCAGTCTAGCATGCAGATAGACGCAGACTTATTCCGTAACTCTTTTTTCTGATACTTCTTTTTAATGAATCACTGTCTTAATAAAACGGCCCTCACACCTTCAAGTGTCCTCCGGAATGATAACAGGACAAAGCAGATGTTTTCACCCATCTTCACCAGAGAGGAAGTACTGAGCCCCTAGTGACCAGGTGAGGAGGGGACAACCAGGGTTCCAGCTCCAGAACCTTTGGCAATGAGGTGACTACAGGAGGATGAAAAGTGAAAGACTTTGAGGACTAGAAGTTGATGATCCAGTCTAATGTCTCATCAGAAAATTCCCCCAAACCAACTCGGAATCTGAGCTGTGGCCTACCCAAACAGATGTCAAACAGGTTGTTTAAATCAAATAAAATAAAAAACATTTTTCCTACTAATAACAGGTCCTGTGCTAAAATATAGAGCAAAATAACACACAGTTTCCACCCTTTAAAAGTCCATAATCTTTAGCATATGAGAAAACATACAGACAATTCGTAATAATACAATATATTATGCCAGCCATGCATGTGAAGCTAATGCAGTAAGGGCTAGAAAAGAAAAGGTCTTTACTGAGAAAGGTGTATCTGAGCTAGGCCTAGAAAAATTCTTAAATTTTTTTCCCAGAGGGAACACAAAGGAAAAGGCATTTCAGGCAGAGGTAACAGTTTGCCCATAAGCACAGAGAAATGAAAAGGCAGGATAGGCCAAGGGAGAAGTGAACACCTTGATGAAGAAGATAAAAATGTCTGAGAAGTCTAAGTTTATATTATACATGTTTCTAATGTCATATGAAGTGGACTACCTGTTCCATATCCTATGCCTCCTTCTCCTTTCTCAGAGTACCCTCCCCAGCTCAACCCATGGGTTTCAGGGAAACTAAGCCCACCCCTAGCTGAAAGAGAATACCGCCAGGACTCAGAAAAGTCAGAATGATCCCAACACTCAATTACATCACTCCCATTGCAACCCACCCTTCCCTATTCTTTCCCCACCCCCTCCCACCACCCTCAAAATTTCTGCTTTGTTCCAGGTGACAGAAGAAGTAGTTACGAGTCTCCTGTGTGAGTTTTTCCAGCCAAGCCTTGGTAAACCAGGTCACGAAGTAAAAGGAAAAAAAGGCAGAAGAGGAGATGGAGACATGGTGCTGTATACACAGGGAGAAAGGAGAGCAGAGAGAAAAAAAGAAAGACAGAGGAAGAAGGGTAGGGAAAAAGAGAGGAAGGAGAAAATACAGACCAAATGACCAACAGACCTATGGGCAAAACACATATTACCTACTCCTTGTATCTTCATGTAGCAAGATTTCCTTATGGGAACACTCCTGGCCCCTCTGTCTACATCCTCACTCACTCCTGCTTCCTTTTTGGGAGAACGAACTGGCCATGCACCCTCTTTGGGGTGTGCCTGCCTGCAGAGAGGGTACACCCTCACATCCTCTTGGTCAGGTGTTAAGTTTAGCAGGCCCCACGCTATGCATCTACCCCAGTGTTTGGTGAGTAAATTCAATCTGAGATTCAGAATTAGAGGCTCACTATGATGATATACTGTCTTCAAACCCCCAATCATGTCTTCCAACCTAGATTTCAACAGTTCTAGAGTTACCATTCAATCTCCACCTACCTGACTTGCATCTATTCTTCAATGGGCTCCAAATTCTGGCAGCAAAGAGGGTTGCTTCTACTGGGCCCACAAAAAATGCTAGCAAGACTAACAGGCCAACTAACAGAAAAAGAGAGATCAAGAAATCACAAAATCAAAAATCCATTTAACCCTCTTCTGCATGTCTATGTCTCTACTTCCTGACAAAGAATAAATATAGGACTAAAGAAATATGGGTCTCACCTGTCACTCTGCTCGGTTCCTTTGCTGTGAAAAATAGTGGAAGAGTCTGCCCAGGGCACAACCGTCGTCCACATGATGCCAAACCAGTCCCCCACTGGAACACGATGCCACTCACTTCCCAACAGAATGGAAGAGAAAACAAAGGAGATGCACATCAGGATAAGACTAGATTGCTCTTTGAACCTCACTGCTATGAGAAATTCCCAATTCTTTCTCAATTAATGTGAGTGTTATGGAGAAGCTCAATTGCTTCAAGAGGTCCTATAACTGGTCACAGGGATTACCACCTAGCCAATCACAAATCCAGTCTTCAGGACAGTCTAAGACCATCAAAGTAAATTCCAATACCACATAACTTCATACAAAAAGTTCCAGGATACTCCTCCAGAGTCAAATCAGTGGAATGACACCTTATTCATAATTAATCTAAAAAGATAACTCAGACCTCAGACATAGCAGAAAAGAACCTTAAAGATTATCAAATCCATTTCTCACATTTAGTAGAGGAGAAAACTGAGGCCCTGAAGAGAGGATGTGATTTGTCTCCCCACACAGGAAGGTAATGGTAGAGAAATGCCAGGACTCAGCTCTCCTAACATCTAATGTAGTACCCTTTCCACAACACCAAGATGAATTCAAAGATTCCTAACTGCCACATAACTACAAATGCATGACTGCAAGATAGCTTCTTAATAGCCATGATTTCAGTGGAATGGGCTTTTACTTTCATGTCCACTGAATCTACTTCATGTTCCTATGTTCTGAATCTCATACAAATGCAAAGACGAAAGTCTAGATATTTGGTCTATAGTTAGGTGTGTGCAACTAGGATCCATCACTCAACAGCAGCATTACAGTCCTGCTCCTTTGTGAGTATCCTATAAACAGCAGTCCTTTTTCAGGCTGTAAACAGACAAGCCTGTTTTGTAAAAATAAGCTATGACCACTGAGCGCAATGTGAGCAAATCACAGTGTGGAAATAAAAATTTACAATCTCTTCAACAAATTGATTGTAAGAGAAAAAAAAGGAAAAAAATTTATAGATTAAAAAAGACTTCAGATAGCTAACAAGAGATTAATATCCAGAATATATAGAGAACTCCTAAAACTCAAAAACCAAAAGAAACAACTCAACTAAAAAATGGGAAAGAAGTAATTCCAGCACTTTGGGAGGTTGACATGGGAGGACTGCTTGAGTCCAGGAGTTTGAGACCAACCTGGGCAATATAGTGAGGCCTCATTTCTACAAAAAATTTAAAAATTAGCCACGCATGGTGGTGTATGCCTGTAGTTTCAGCTGCCCAGAAGTCTGAGATGGGAGGATCACTTGCACCTGGGAGGTGGAGGTTGCAATGAACCATGAACACATCACTGCACGCCAGCCTAGTTGACAGAGGGGACCCTATCTTAAAAACACATACATATGCATGCGTGTGTGTGTGTGTGTGTGTGTGTGTGTGTGTGTGTGTTGGCATGGGAAGAACTATGTCCCCCTAAAATTCAGGTATTAAAACCCTAATGCCAATGTGACTATATTTGCAGATAGGCTCTATGGAATGCAATAAAAGTTAAAAGGGGTCATATGTGTAGGGCCTTAATCTAATAGGACTGGTGTCCTTATAAGAAGAGGAAGAGACATCAGAGATCTCTCCCTCTCCACAGGCACACCCAAAAAAGGCCATGCAAGAACAGAGCAAGAAGGTAGTCACCTACAGGCCAGGAAGAAAAAAAAACTCACAAGAAACAAATCCTAACAACACAACAATCTTAAGACTTTTAGCCACCAGAATGGTGAGAAAATAAATTGTTGTTTAAGCCTCCCAGTTCGTGGTATTTTGTTATGGCAGCCCTAGCAGATTAGTACTGTCGTACATCCATACCAAGGAATACGAGTCAGCAATAGAAAGGAATGAATTTGTGATACACACAACTTGGATGAATCTCTAGGCAATTATGCTGAGGGAAAAAAGCTGACCTCAAAAGATAATATACTGTATAATACCATTTATATAACATGTTTGAAATGACAACATCATAGAGATGGAGAACAGAAGAGTGCTTAGCCTAGGGCTAAGATGTGGATATAGGCAGGTAGAAGTGGATGTGGCTATGAAAGGGCAACATGAATGATCCCTGTGGTAATGAAACTGTTCTGTATCTTGACTGTATCAGTGTTAATACCCTCATTATGTTACTGTACTATAGTTTTGCAAAATGCCATTAGGGGAACCTGGGAAGAGAACACACGGGCTCTGTCTTATTTTTGAGGCTGCATGTGCATCTACAATTAGCTCAAAATAAAAAGCTGAATTTTTCTTAAGTGTAATGAATGCTAAGCCCAGGATTATCAGCACAGTGCGGCACTGAGCTCTTCCTCACCTCCTCTCTCCTTCCTCCACTCCACAACTGGACTCACGAAGCACTTGAGCCTCAGCTGCCACAGCCAATTAGTGCTGTCCTTCAGTTCAAAAGGAGTGAGAGCAGAGAAAAATGAAAAGGGGAGAGATAAAAGGGTCACTGTTCTCCCACATGCTACCTCCCTGCCCCCCTCAGTCCCATCACCCACTCACATGACAGGAGACCAGCTCACTTGAAGCTTTTAAATTAATCAACATTAAAATCCATTAGGAAGGCAATGCAGTTCCCAGCAAAGAATATAAGCCTTAGGCTCCAAACCATCCCAGGCTCTGATCCCAGCTCTACCTTACCCCCTGTGTAAGCTTACACAAGCACCTTAACTCTGTGCCTCAGTTTCTTAACATGTAAAATGTAACTCGCATCACTTCCTGGTTGTGAGAATTAAATGAAGTAACTAAACAACAGCACCTAGCACCATACCTAGAACATAAAGAGCTAGAAAACTTCATTTCCTTCTTCTCTACCTGCAGAAAGAAGTCTTTCCCACATGACTTCTGCCTTATGTTCTCCTTTTAATCAGAACCACAATGCAGCAGGACCCTTTGAAATATTCCTTAAGGGGTTTTTCTCCTAAGTTCAGTTTCCTCTTATTACAGACCTATTTTAAAAAGGGGGGCATGGGCTGGGCACAGTGGCTCACACCTGTAATCCTAGCACTTTGGAAGGCCATGTGGGAGGACTGCTTGAGGCCAGAAATTCAAGACCAGCCTGGGTAACATAGTGAGAGTCTGTCTCTACAAAAATTCTTTAAAAGTTAGCAGGGCATGGTGGCATACACCTATAGTCCTCGCTACTCAGGAGGCTAAGGCAGTCAGACAACATGGGCTCAGGAGTTCAAGGCTACAGCGAGCTGTGATCAAGCCACTGCACTCCAGCCTGGGCAACACAGTGAGACCCCCATCTCTAAAAATTATTTAAAAATTAAAACATAAATGGTCACCTGTAGCAGCTAATGCATGCCTCAGTCCAGCAGCAATACAAACAATCTTCTCTTCATGGAGCTGTCAAAGTAAAGAAAAGGATTTAGATCTCAGAACCATCCAACTACAAAATTTTATGTAATTTATACCCAAATGCAATGCAGTATGGTCCTCATTATGTGTCTCACTGGTTTAAAGCAACCACTCCCCACAACACTTCCACCCATAAATACCTCTATATTTATCCCTAAAAGAAAAAAATATATCTTTTAAAATACTGTATCACAATACCACATGACAACAACTCTCAGGGCTGGGAGACACTTACAAGTTCATCTAGTTCAAGAGTTAGTAAATGTTTTCTGTAAACGGACAGATAGTAAATATTTTATAGGCCATGCGGTTTCTGTCACACTACTCAGCTCTGCCATTGTAACATAAGAGCAGCTTTCAACTATTCATCAACGAATGAGCATTGCTCCGTGCCAGTAAGACTTTATTTACCAAGGGCTCAAAGTTGCCCAACCTGATCTAGTCCAATCCCCATCCAAAAACACCCCACCAAGTGGTCATCCAACCCCTGCCAAACACCTACCTCCAGTGACACAGGGATCGCCACTTCCCCAGGTGCATGCTCCATCTTTGCACAGTTCCATTGATCTCTTTAGGTGGAACCAAACCTATCTGCCTGCAGCTTCTGACAATGCTTTCCAAATATTTGAAGACAGTTGTCATGTCCTCCCTAAGACATCTTGTAGTGGTTTTAAAAATAGGTCCTCAAATTCTTTGCTACTCCTCCCTTCAAGATGTAGCTTAATACCCCTCCCCCTGTGTGGGCTGGACTTAGTGACATGCGTTTAATGAAGAGAATGAAGAAGCAATGAGTGACTCAGAGACTAGGCGAAAAAAGGCACTAAAGCTTCCTGCTTAGCATCTCTCTCTCTCTCTCTCATCATGCCTGGGGGAAGCCAGATGCCATGTCCGAAAAGTCCTATGGAAAGGTCCACATGTCAAGGAACATGAAACCATTAGGGCTTTATCACATTTGTTTATTTAGAGGTCCATGTAGATTGCATGCAGACCCAGCTAACATCTCAACTGCAACTTCATGAGAGATCAGCTAAAGCTGTTCCTAAATTCCTGACTCTCCAAAACTGTGACATAATAAATGTTTGCTGTTTTAATTTGCTAAGTTTTGGGGTAATTTGTTACACACCAATAGATAACTAATGAAGATCTTTTCTTTAGGCAAATATCCCAGTTCATCAGCCATCACTGGGTTTCATATGTCCCTCTCCTCCCAGTTTCTCTTCTCTAAATATGCTCTAGTTTTTCAATCTTTCTCTTTTAAAGGAACTGTATAGCACCATTAGGGCTTATCACATTTTTTTGTTTACAGGTCCACAGTGTCTTTCTAAACTTTAGGACCCTCAAGGGCAGGATCTGAGTCTTACATACCTTTATGCCCAGGGCCTAAGCATCAAATGCATAGCAAAACACAGCATCCCAGATGCAAGCTGACTGAGCTCTGGAAACTATACTTCTGTCAATGGAGTCCACAATCACATTAGCTTTTGGGAAGATCAAGTCTTTTTGTTAATACAATTTGAACATATTGTCCTTTAAATGTGGCTTTTGTTTTTTCCCCAAAAAACTAACTGAAGGGCTTTGCATGTGATTTCTCTTTAACATCACTCACCTCCATCTCTTACTCCCCTCATCCCAACTGTGGCTGCTTTAGTTTGGGCCACACTTATCTCACGTGGATTGTTAGCAAGAGTTTCCTGAGTGATCTTCCTTCAATCCATCTTCCACTACCCTATCTGACCTCCCTACCATGCTGTTCTTACCATGTGTCAGATACAACCACCCTGATTGCCCGATTCCCACCTACTGTACCCTGGAACTCCCACCACCTCCTTACATTCCAACCATACTAAATTATTCACAATACCCCAAAGTATCCTGTTTTATACTTCTCCACCTTTGCTTACATGGTTCCTTTTGCCTAGAATGTTTTTCTTTTGCACCCACTCTGTGCATCCTCCTAGCCCAAGACAGTTGTAAACCTGTTCTCACCCCACCTTCCTCTACATGTTCAATACTCCCTCATTTGGGGATATACATGCATCTATCATAGTTCTGACATGGTATTATATTTAAGTATTTATGTGCCTATCACGTACTACCAAACTAATAAAACTCTCAAATGCTAGGACAGGTCTTATTCAACTTTGTTCCCAATGTCTAAACATAGTACCTACATATAATGGTTGCCATTAAATAAATGAATGAATTTCTATTAAATTTCACTTTGGCACATTGCTCCTATTATTGCACAGAATATCATCTGTCAAAATGTTTTTACTTTCAGATTCTGTCATCCAACATATTGTTCCTCTATTCTTTAATTATATAAAGTATAATTAAGCTAAATTAATTATAACTTATATGTAGGTTCTTACAAGGCCATCTATTTGCAATTGGGAGCTATAACACTTCCTTCAGGAACTACAGAGCCTAGACTTGTGTGCATACCATGGGAACCATGACCCCAAACAACAGACCCCAGACCAGCAACTGAGTTCAGCAAGATGGCAGGAGCAGACCCAAGATTTCTGCAGGGAAAAAGATCTCCCACTAGTAATCAGAGTTTAGGGAAATTAGATAGGAGTGGGGCAGCTTAGGTAGTAAAATTCATTTTTGATTCAAGCATATTTCTTTAAAAATTCTATATTCCTATTATGATCGCTTACAATACAAACTTCACAAAATGGGGTACATTTTAAGTATGATGGACTGAAGTAAAGAGCTCTGAACTAGGGCCAAGAGTCCTGTTTAACACTTGTTTTGTCCAGTATGGTAGCCACTAGCTACATGTAGCTCTTGAGAACTTGAAATGAGATTCACTAAACTAAGACATATTGTGGGTAAAAAATACACACCAGAGTTCAAAGACTTAGTACAAAATCAGCACAAAATATCTTGTTAATAACTCTTATACTGATGACATGCTGAAATGATAATAGTGTAAATACACTGGATCAATTTAAAAGTGATTAAAATTAATTTCAAGTACATGCTACAACATGGACAAAACTTGAAAGCATCAAGCAAGGTAAAAGAAGCCAGGTCACATATTTAATGATTTCACTTCTATGAAATGTCCAGGACAGGCAAATCCACAGAGACAAAAAGTAGATTAGCTCTCACCAGGGGCTGAGGGGAGGGGAGAATAGGAATTGACTTCTGTTAAGCACATAGTTCATTTTGATGGTAATGAAAATGTTCTAAAATAAGATAATGATATCGGTTGCTCATCTCTGTGGATATACTAAAAACCACCAAATTATACATTTTAAAGAGGTTAATTTTATGGTATGAGAATTATAGCTCAATAGTGCTGTTATTTTAAAAATTAATTTCACCTGTTTCCTTTTAAATGGGGCTACTAGAAAATTTTAAATTACATATGGCTCACATTATATTTCTACTGGATAGCACTGGCCTATACCATTTGCCTAGCTTAGTGTCTTTTGACAAATCACTTCTATCTGAACCTATTTCTAACATAAATTCCATTATTACTAATTTTATAACTGTAAAACGTCATTAATATCCTTATGAGATGTATTACTTTTATTGTTTTATTTCGCAAAACTTTATAAAGTATATGAAAACTAACGGAGGTTTTCATTCACAACGTCTACCTCCCAACTTAATTTTTTCCAGAAGGACCTATTTTTCAACTCAAATTCTCCTACCCCATGGGTTTTCAGCGATCCTGAGAGCCTTTTATTCTGGGGAGGGATAATGTAATGCCTTGGAGACACTTTAAACGGTCATGGGCAAGCTAAATATTAACTTTCCTCACCTCAATGGCCTGGGGAACCACACATCTTCGAGGTCCATGAGGAGCTCCTAACTGGCCAAAGGAGTTGGATCCACATGATAGAACTTGACCATTTTCTGCGAAACACAAATACTTGAACATTGCAAATCTGTGAAACAAGATGTCTGTGCCCAATGCGTAATGCTGAGGGGTGAGGGGAAGTGCTTCAGTGGATTCAGACCATATTCTCTGCTTTTATTCCTCTGGGAATGAAAACAGTGGGCACCAGGTTAAGCATTCTACACAGACTGTCTATTCTGTTATCTCATTAATAACAGATTATCTGTGTAGAACACTTAACTCAGTGCCTAGTACTGGGATGGGAGGATACTAATTTCCCACTTTCCGTGTTTCCATGTGACAAAATTTCCATTAGCATAACACTCCAGCCTTTCTCCCTTTCTCCCCATCCTCGATGCTTTCTAGGGGACAGGGGTCAAGTAACCAGTTGGTGAGTCTGGGAGAAGGGACAGGACATGTGTGGCTTGGCACCTCCCTCTCAGTCACTCTAGGCTGACACAACAGAAGCATTTCCCAGTGGGGAAAGCCTAGAGATTTGGGGGCAAGTTTGGACCAGAAGAATATTAGGACCACTTAGCCTCATAGTTAATCCTGTCCTCCAATTTAGCCTTTATCAGTGAAAGGCCAATAGTTTTTGATCTCCAACACTGACTTCTCTGTGCCTTTCTCACAACAGGCTCCAAATGTGAGCAGGAAAGAGTGTTATCTACCGACTCCTTATAATCCAATATAGGCTCACAATAAATACTTCATTAATGATAGCCATTGTTTAGATTCTAATAAGTACCATCAAATTCAACATATATTACAGAACCCCTCCACAGAATGGTGACACTTGAGCAGGGTTTTAAAGCTGAGATTCGAGTTCATCAGATAGACAAGAGGGGCTGGTCCAAGCAGAGAAGGGCATGACTGCTTGGTATGACTAGAAAGAAAAGTAGGAGGAGTGTGGAGAATAAGAGACAAGGCAACAGAGATAGCTAGGGAACAGCTACAGAAGGCCAACACTAAAAAACTAGGAATCTAAGCTGTGTCTGGGAGAACCCACAAGGGTTTACAACAGGAGAGTGACGGAAGATGCCCTTGCCAGAGGACTGTGATAGAGAGCCTGGTCAGAAACCATAGATGGTCTTTTAAATCCAGGATGGCCAGCTGGACAGAGCAAAGCTGAACAGAGGTCAAAACTGCTTCAAGGGAACAGACATCAGTTGACAAAGTAACTACTGCTGGCTGCTCCCAAGAGTATTATTCTATTAACCTTTTGGCCATATCCTATTCTGCTACCTGGCCTCACAAAGGCCAAACAGATCTGTCCAACCCCATTTATTAAAAAAAAAAAAAATCCCTCAGTAGGAAAAAGCTGCCATCACTGCTTTGGCAACCACTATTCCCTCATATTCTCCTACCACATTCCCCGTGAGTAACCCTTAGCTGCCACTGCTGGCCAATGGCCAGCTAGCCCAGGCCCATGGCTATTATGAACTTTTGGGACAGGAAGTGGCCACCAAAGGTTATCTAGTCTATTCCCTACTCTCTGATCCCAATCACCTGTACTGTTAAAACCAACCTTGAAAAAGGTACTCCACAACTTTTCTTGACAACCAGAGGGAAATTTTGTAGGTGCTTTTCATTTATTTTATATTTATCTATTTATTTAGAGGCATAGTCTTGCTCTGTCACTTTGGCTGTGGTACAGTGGTGCAATCTCGACTCACTGCAACCTCCACCTCCCAGGTTCAAGCGATTCTCCTGCCTCGGGCTCCCAAATAGTTGGGACTACAGAGTAGTTGGGACTACAGACATGGGCTACCATGCTCACCTAATTTTTATATTTTTAGTAGAGAAAGAGTTTCACCATGTTGGCCAGGCTGGTCTCGAACTCCTGACCTCAAGTGATACGCACGCCTAGGCCTCCCAAAGTGCTGGAATTACAAGCGTGAACCACCGTACTGGGCCTTCGGTGTGCTTTTTAAACACATAGAGGCCTTCATTTAATCAGCAGTCACCACTATCACATTGTTCTCACCTGGTATTAAAAATTTATCTAGGAGTGAACTCACCAGTGAGTATAATGGTAAAATCCCAGCCACAGGCCACCTGTTGGATGGGACAGCCAAGGAGGGATTTGCAGGGAGTAAAATATGGGACATCCTCTGTGTGACCAAGCCCCAGTTGCCCATCTTTGTTCAGGCCACAAACAAAGAGGTCCCCTTCATCTGCAAAATATAAAGTCATCAGTGATAGTGTGCCCAGGGAAAAACACAACTGCAAAGTGAACAAAAAGATTTCACTAATTATTTGGAGTCTCATACCAATAAATTTTTTTCCCATCCAAGTTAATAAGCTATGTATGTTCATGTATTCTGGAGCCAAGTGACACAGGGCCAAGGGCCTCAAATCTAGTATCTAGTAGATACTAGAACAAAAAGCCAACATTTAGAATGCACCGGTTACTGTCTTAAGAGCTTTTGTGCAGGGCGGACTTATCCTGTAGGCACAGTGTCTAGGGCCTAAAATGCTTTTAGAGGCCCACAAGAGTGGCTTAATTTTTAGTTATTTTGAAATGAGGAAAAGAAAAATAATGTAATAACGATGCATGTATAATACTAAATCTGGAGTGGATTCTATTAATATTCCTCTTTATACCAACACAGTTGTAAAATATAATTTCATTTATTTACGAAGGAAGGGGTCCATAAAGGCAAAAGCACCAAGGACCCATGACAGTCAGAGTGGAGCCCTGCTAATTCACTGGTTCTCTTCATTCACCATTATTATCCTCATGTAATAGATTCAGAAACTGTGGTTATTTGCCCAAGGCCACATAGATAATTAGTCATAGAACCAGGATCTAAACCTACACATTTGATTCCAGAGCTCATGTTCTTAACCAGCTGCAACATGCCCCCTTTACAACATTGTAGCACTTGTACTACTTGTTAAGTACTAGCCTAGATACAGTAAGGGAAGATTAAGGGAAATACACAGTTTCCGCTCTCAAGAAATATCCAATCTAATTACAAACACCTCTAACTCCTATTGTGTAAAATATACATTGTAACTCTGCCACTAATTTGCCTTGTGATGTTAAGCAATCAGCGTTTCTTTCTGAGTTCATTTGCATAATGGAGGAGGTGGGGGTAAGGGGTGGCCTAGAAGATCTCTGAAGTCCTTCTAGCCCTGATAATCTAGGATCCTCTGATGGTAACTGGCTCTTTCACAAAAATGTTTCACAAAAATATATTCTTTTCCTCTGCAAAATTAAAAAAAAAAGGCTGAGAGATGGCAATATAATGTCCCAGGGAGAAATGTCTAAATAAGAAAATGAATGACTATCTACTTTTGAAGGAAGTTACCTGTGACAATTGCAGAATGGCCCCCTCCTCCTGTGATCCTCCTGATACACCTGGGTTTACAGAAATCATTCAGTTGCTGGGGCAATAGCACATCTTCCTTATGGCCAAGGCCAAGCTGCCCATAACTGTTTGCACCCTAGGGATGAATAAGCCAAGGATGAAAAAGTGTGGGGACTATAAGTGTCAATGTCCACTTACCTGTCTCTACCTTTCTCACTCTGACATATCTCGCAGAGCCTATAACAGATGAGATTTCTTAGGCTCTTTTTTTTTTTTCTCTCCTTCATGGCAAATACAGCACTGTTTATTCAAACATATAATAACAAGCACCAGAAAACAACATGTAACACTCTCTCCCCACCCCTGATCTGCAATCCCATAAGTAAGAGACTCATAACCATAACAGTGGAGGAAATTCAAGTCCAGGAAAGTTCCTAGGTAGGCACCCTGACGGGCTTAATCTACTTAATGCCCTGCCTCTTGGCCTCCTGCAACAGCTGAAGAAACCACGTTTTTCCACCTCAGGCCCCAGAAGGCAAAGCAACGATGCCAGTCATGGCTGGAGGGGACACGTGTCCTACGAGGTACTTGGCCTAGCCCAATCCTCTGGAGGTAACAGGATAAAGCAGCCCTTCCTCTTAGGGTGGCCATGAAAAGAGAGGCCATAGCCTAAATCAAGGCTCTTTTGACTGAGAATAACACAGCCTCTTGAGGAGGAGAGCCTTCTCTGCTCCAGAGAGGAGTTCTGGGCTGCGAATACTTAGTAGGAGTAACTCATATCTCTCTTTACCCCCTTCCCTCGCCCCCTCACCTCCCATGCCACTTCATGCTTTTCCCTAGCTGAACTTCAGCCCCCAAATGAGAAAACTATACAGTACATTTCAAATAAATTATAAATATGGATACAGAATCCAAACAAAGTTCCAGAAGCTGCTCACAGACCCCCACAGGGGCCAGCCCAAAGAAAAACGAAAGTCATTCCTTTGTTCTCTGTGTCTCTGGAGTTGTGGGCTAAACTGTCTTCCCTTGTCCATAAGTAATCATGGGGACAGCTCAGGACAGAGAGGGTTTCAGACTTAGAAACTCTCTCACCCCATCTCCTTTCTGCCCTCCTCAAATCCCTTCCCCAAAATCTAAAAAGAAAAATAATAATCATAATAATTCGCTCATTGAAGGACTCCAGAGCATTTGGGAATGTAAATCTTACCTCTCCCTTCTCAAGTGGGAAACTGACCAAAGAGGAAATAACTGGTCAGGTTCATTCTTAACGGCTGTTATATGCAACCCATATTTAGATGGAGGCCCCATCCTCAGAACACCATGATTTCCATATGAGAAGAGTCCTTAGCATCCATAACTCATCCAGTGATATTCCTCATCTTTCCCTGCTTATGCTCCAGCCCTCACATACTGCCTTTGGGAGACAGCACAGGGGTTCCTTCTGATAAAAGCTACCTACCTAGGGAAGCTAAGGAAAGAAAAAAATGAGGAAAAAATTGCACCAAAATGGGAAAGAAACAACCTGGAATTCGTTCTTGTTCCTCCTCCCCACACCCTCACTAGGAAAACTGGCAATGACTCTGGAATCAAAGTTGGCTAAGGATTTTGTACCTTAAAGCAAGGCACAGCATTATTTCATTTGCAGTGAAAGAGGTTGGCAATGATCTCTAAGGGCCATTCCAAGTACAGTGCTGTGTAACTCCAAGATTCACAAGGTAAGATTCCAGTAAGGGGACAGATTCCCCTTGACAGGCAATATGTCTATTATTATTATACAATAAAGGTCCATAATCCCTAATCTGAAATGCTTGCAGTCAAATGTATTTCAGATTCAGAATTTTACAGCTTTTAGAAAAGTAATACAGTATATATGTCATATATACTGATGCAGGGTCCAGGGACAGCAGCCCATAAGCAAAACAATAGAATTTCTGCATTAAAAAGTACAAATATTCATAAGATGTGGCCAAAGACTATAAATGACCTTATGTCCAGTAAGTTGTGGGTTTTCAGAGCTTTTTGAATTCAGAATTGAAGATAAGGGATTGAGGACCTGCAGAGAGAATCTTACTAAGACTTCAGAAATTCTAATTTATTCAAGTATCTACTCTTAGCTGGTTCTTCCTGGAGATGAGAAGTAAAATCTTTTACATATGTTTGTTTTTGAAGACACCTGAATGAGGAAAGGTAATGTAAAATAATTACAAAAAAATGCACACATACATACAAAATCCTTCCCCCTATAAGTCTATTGCATGGCCATCCTGGGCTGCAAGGGCTCAAAGATGGAAGAGTAAGCCGTGGCAGGGGCATAAGTTCCAGAAGCTCATGGGGGCAACATTAGCTACCAATTACTGAGTGCTTCTCTCCAAACTTTGCATTCACCTTTAATCTTCACAACAACTAAGAAGGACATTATCACTCCCATTTTACAGAGGAAGACACTAAGGCTCAGAGAGGCTAAGTAACTTTCCATAGTTACATCTGCGTAGGCAACAAGTCAGATGCCCTGCTCCTTTTACTATACCTTACTGTGTCTCTTAAAAAAAAGAAAAAAAGAATATATGGTGAAACAGCCCAGAGCTTACCTGGCAGGAGGTTAACTATATGACTTTATCTAAAATAGCATCCCGATATCACTCATTTTCTACTTTATTTTTCTTCATTCCACTTCTTGATGTTACATTATATATGTTTACTTGTTTACTGTAAACCTCCCCTTTTAGAAACTAAACTCCAGGAGGGCAGGAACTCTGCTTTGCTCACTGCTATTTCCCCTGCATCTGAAACTGTGCTAGCCGAAAGAAGATGTACATATATTTATACAGGGATTAAATGTAAGACTATGAAAGACTATTGCTCAGCATGAAGGGGAATATAGAGTATACATGCACAGGATTTCTTGGTCAGCCCTGAGATCTCTGTGGCTGTCCCATTACCAGGAGTGCAAGGCTGCTGAACACATGGGAGAAAGGTACTATGACACATGGGCACTCTGAGGTTCAAATTAGGGTACCAATTTTTGTGATGCTGCCAGAGGCCCTAAATCTAGGATAAAGCAAGACATAGTAAAATTTAATACAACTGTTATTAGCCTTTCTTCCTTACAAACACTCCAGACATATCATATATGCACACATACACACACACACACACACACACACACACACACACACACCTCACAAGGTAAATCCCCTTCTGGTGGACTGAACTTTATTCCCCCAAAATTCACATGTTGAAGCCCTAATCTTTCCAAATACTACTGTATTTGGAGAGAGGGCCTTTAAAAGGGCAGTTAAAGTTAAACGAGGTCATAAGGGTGGGGCCCTAATCCAATATGACTGGTGTCCTTACAAGAAGAGACACCAGGGATGCTCACACACACAGAAAGAGCCGTGTGAGGACACAGTGAAAAAAGCCATGTGAGGACACAGTGAGAAGGCGGCCATCTGCAAGCCAGAGAAAGGCCTCGGGAGAAACCAAACCTACTCAAACCTTGATCTTGGCCTTCTAGTCTCCGGAAATGTGAGAAAATAAATGTCTGTTGTTTAAGCTTCCGTTGTGTGGTATTTCGTTCTGGCAGCCCTAGCGAACCAACACACCCCCGCCCCAGTTTCAGATTATGCAGCAGCAAAAACACACCACCAAACCTCCAAACATAGCAGTAGGGTGACGTTCAACAATCTATTAAACATATTTTAAAACCTCTAATATTTGGCCTTGTCTGTACTAAAACAATTATTTCTGTTTCCGTACAGACAAGACCGAATATTAAAAGTTGTTTCTGTCCGATGTTTCCTCTGTCTACACAGACGCCAGTCTCCTGCCTAGAAAATTCAATCTCCAACTCCACTCCCAGCTCCCGGGCCACCTCAAAGACGCCCAGCCAGTCAGACTACCGCAGGCCACACCATGCTCTCTCCCTCCTGCCAAACTGCAGCCCCGCATTCAACAAGTGCTCACCTTTACTGATCATGACATCTTTAAAAACTGGTCAATTAATACTGATTTTTACAGCAATACCGGTTATAATTTTGCTCTTCCCAACATAAGAGCTGGAAGTCTTTCACTCATGTGTATTTCCCAAACCACCAGCACATGGCTAGGCACACATATGCTCCTTCATTCATTCGTCAACAGGTATTTACTGGGGACCTTCAATGTGCCAGACACCAGGAGAGGCACTGGCACCCCATCCACTCTTACCACACTTACTTTCTAGCCAGGGAGATTGACGTTAATAATAAATTATACACATCATTACAATTGTGATACGTGCTATGAAGCAGCATAAGACGCAGCAACGCTTGTTCCCATGCATGCTGGTCGGCTGCCTGGCACACTCCGGTGCACGAACCCTCCTCTCCCCCGGACACACATCAGGATGACCCTGTCTCTCCCAATGCTCCCGTCAAACCAACAGCAACCCAACTCCCGCAAGACAGGCAAGAACTGGTCACAGCAGAGCATCAGCAAATAGGCAGGGTCTGTGCGGTGTGCGCGGCCAAATACCGCAGGCCTCACATCCAAAGGATGTCCTCGCCAGGCTGGGACAGGGCCTCCATCCTCCAGGCATCAGGAGGGTGGGGAGCACAGGTGTCCCCACGGGGCTCTGGGACCAGGCGATCCTCTCCACAGAGCCCGCCGCGCTGTCTTCCAGGCGCTATCCGGGCCGAAGGGCTCTCGCGGAACCAGACGCTCAGCCCCGAGGCAGGATCGCTCCGAGGCAGGTTCTTCCCGGCTCCACAGCCCCTCCGGCCCCGACCCCACCAGCCCGCAGGCCCCTAAGTCTACCGCGAAGACCCTTCCCTGCCTGCTGGCTCCTCCTCCGCTCCCAGCCCAGGAGCCTCCCACCTGGAGCCCGACTCGGACCTCAGCAGCCCAGCCCCTGAACTGCCCACGTCAAGGCCCGGAGCTCCCACGTCCCGGCACCCCTCAGTGTCGGCCCCGGCCCGGGGGCGGAGTCACGTACCCAGGCGAAGAGCGCGGCCGCCACGGGGGCGGCCTCCGAGGCGCTGGGCTCGCGCTCCATGCGAGGGCGCTCCATGCGAGGACGCTCCGCCGGCGCTTCCGGGAAGGATCGCACGCGGGCGGGGCCTGTTGAGGACGGGTGGGCGCGGGAACTCCTGGCGCGAGGACTGGACCGGGGACGCGGAATCGCGTGGGCGCGGGGCGGGGTCTGTGGTGGGAAGGGGCCCGCGGACCTAGAGAGGAGGTGCGGCCGCGCCCTCCGGCCGCCGGGGACCAGTGACTAGCGGGGCCGGACGACAGCCCCGGGGCCGCCTCCTAGTCGGCCCGCCCCGGCGCGCTCGCAGCGTCCCCTCCCGCAGCCTCCTGTCGCGCTGGGCCGCTGAGCCTCTCGCTCCACCCCCTCGTACGCTTTATTTTTAGTCATAATTTCATGTTGCATGCAGGTGCACTGCGCGCCACCGTTCACAAAGCTCCTTCGCGTTTTTGTCTCCTTGAAGTCCCTCGACAGCCCAGAGGGGCTGACAGGGCAGGGATGGCATCACCATTTGCGGGAGCAGGAAATGGAGCCTGAGGGGGCGGGCGGGGTTCTGCGAGGCGTCTCGGGCGCAACTGCCTGGAGCCCACTTTGGTCTGCGTTCGCAAACAGCTGAGCGGCACGTCGCGGGTGTCGCCCTCTACACCTGGCATGGAGCGACAACTCGCGCCTCGCGACGCTGAATGGGGGAGGCTGGTTAGCGTCGACTCCTGCTGGGGCAGCCTCCGCGCTCTAGGCACGGTCCTGCGCTCATTCTATTAATGCTGGATAACTTTCACCCAACGAACATTTCCATATAAAATGTCTTTTCCCAGACAGTGTCGTGTTGCTGGTGGGAGTTAAATAAATTCAATTTACGTGGGGGAAACTATGGCACTGCCTATTGGGAATACAGAACACATGGGGTTACATTAAAGATGATCATCCACATTCGTAGCTCTTGGCCCCTCTGCTGACACCGCCTCCAGCACTCACCACCCTTCACGCCTTGGCTGGTGGGAGGTGCCTTGAGTGAGCTCTTACACTCTCCTTTCCTGTTCTTTCACTCCACCCACTCCTGGGAGTTTCTGTCTGTACGACCACTTGAAGGCAGCCCCTCACCTTTACCTCTCCAACCTGTGGCATCTGGAGAACGTTGATGATCATACCAAGAAAAAGGCAAACTTTGGAGAGACAAAACAGGCCTTCATTCTCTAGGGATCTGAATGTGCAGAAGCTATACCATGCTTGCTGACTGTCTTACAAGTGGGCTTTTTTGTGCTGACCATTTCTTTCAAGTATGTGTAACAGGATGTAAAAATGGGACTCTTCCCCGCTCAGTTTTGGCTGAGCAACAAGTGAGTTATTTCTATATCATAAAGTAAGGTGCAAGACCACCAAAGCAGCACTTGCAAAGCAGCTGTGTAGAAACCAGTGTATGACTTTCAGTCCACAAAAAAGGTTGAGAGGCCAGAAAGAATTGTAGTAGGATATGTGGCCACAATTATCAATGTGATGTGGGTCTCACCCATCTCATGTCCAAGGAAAGGTACTTCAGCTGGCTCCCTGAGAGAGCTTGGCATGCATCCCTCTAGATTAGGACCCCGGCAGCCTTCTGTCCAATCCGTGCTGAGAAATAAAAGGGCTTGTGGCTGGATCTCTGCTCCAATAGCTGAGCAAAGACAGACTGATGCTTTGGAGAGCTCTTTCACACCCAGTTTTTCAAAATAAAAACAGTCCATTTCCCATGTATTTCCTATACACGAGCAAACTGGCTCGTGTCTTAGACCTTGCACAAGGGAATTTCTGGAAGGGTGAAGTGACACCCACAGGAGAGTGATCACTAGATTCCTTGAGGGTAAGGGAGATGAATTTAACAGCCCAGAGAGATATATTTACCCACATCAAGAGATCCCAAGAAATAAGAAGGTGGGAAGGTCTTCCAAAACACCCACAAGAAAATGCCAGCATGAAATACTTAACCAAGTTCAGAAAGCACTGATGCCAACTCACGACAGTATCAGACCAAAAAGAGCTTTCCTCCTTCTTACTTCCTCCCCTCTACTTCTCCCCAACCCAGTTCTAGAGAAGAAAAAAAGCTTCAACTTTAAAGTTTGTTTTTTAAAGTTTTTCACAGGACTAGCCCTTTTAAATATTGAAATGAGAAAGTGTGTGTCTGTGTGTGTGTGTGTGTGTGTGTGTGTGTGTGTGACAGAGAGAGACAGAGAGAGAGAGAAATGGAAATTAGAAGCTAAGGACTTTTTATTACCTGTGAGCAAGCAGAAAAGTCAAGGCAGCAACCGAAGATTTCACCCAGAGGGGCAAGGAAAAACTACCTTCAGAGCCAGTTTTAATAGAGGGTCTGGGAGAACATAGTTGTTCTCTGACTTCACCCCTTGAATGTACAAGCATCAATACTTTAACTAACCTACAGTTACGTTGTCATGTGAGATCCCTTAATATAATTTATTGGAAGTGTTGAGATGTTGCAACTATTTCAACTATGTACTCACCACTGCCTAGTTCTTCCCATAAGCAGCCTGGCTGAATTGCAGTTCCCTAATGGGACTAGATTTAAACCATTTAATGGCTTCAATTTCAGATGGCTTGTCTCCTCAAAAGAGGAAAGTATAAAGAATTTGGGAACATACAGACTGCATCTCTGTATTGTAAAGGTTAGGAAATTTTTTCCATTGGATTATTTCATTTGATTGTCCCAATAACACTAGTATGGCAAATGCTGTTAGGAGTATTATTTTATTTTATATTATTTTGGTTTTTTGAGGCAGGGTCTGCCCCTGTGCCCAGGCTGGAGTGCAGGTGGCATGATAATGGCTCACTGCAACCTCTACCTCCTGGGCTCAAATGATCCTCCCAACCTCCCATGTAGCTGGGGGCTACAGGTGTGAGCTACCTTCTCTGGCCAGGATTATTATTTTATTGATGAGAAAACTGAGGATCAAAGAAGTTATTCACGGTTAGTTTTCTACTTTTGATAAAGGAAGATTAGCTAGCTGCAAACCTATTCTCATGAAAAACAACTAGAAAAGTTGACAGAAAATATTTTTAAAATCTGTTTCAAGTCATTGGAGAGCTATCAAAGCAGCAAGAACTTGAAGGGCCAAGATCTGGAAACTGAGAGATTATATTTGGCACTACTTTTCTCCTTGAAGCACTTGCTAATTATAAGCAATGTCTTGGAGGCTAGGAAACTGGGCTGAAATCAGCACTGAGAAGCTGAGCAGTACTTCCAGCAATCTCATAGGGTAGGGATGGAAGGTAGGGATGGTGAATGTGAAGCAGGGGACAAAAGTAGGAGTCCAGATCCCCCAAGGAGAACCCCTGGTACACACTCATAGCTTTCACTTGGGATCCCTAAAGGGCTATACCCTAAAAGTCAAGGTAAACTGGAAATAGACCAGCCCTCACAAAGACTGAAGTTCAGCTTCTCTTTCACTCAATCCCTAATTGGACTAAGACTTTACCGTGCCATTGTATATTGCCTTCTAGAAGCAAAAAGTAATCCCCTCTTGTGAAAGATAAAATCATCCAGAAGCTAAGGGGGGATATCTGTTAAGAGAGTGATCGTATTAATAATTCTTTATGTGTGGGAAATGAGGAGTTTTTTTACAAAGTCCTCTTGCAGCATAATTTATTCAATAATCCAGTGTAGTAGACTTAGTTCATTTTACAGATGAGGAATGTAAACCAAAATTAAAATTCAAAGGCCCCCCCAACCATCTGAATGGACTTTCTTCTAGGCAGGGCGCTCTAAAATTTAACCTGAAAGACCCATTGAGGCCATAACTGGATGTGGAGGTCACATACATGCCACATTACACCCCTCCAGCACTAACATCAACACAGACCTTAAGTCTGATGAGAAACAGTTACAATCTATTCTCTTGGAAGCCTGCAATCTGGAGGTTTCATCTGCATGATGAAACTTTGGTCTCTGCAACCTTTTATAGCATCCCAGACATTTCTATTAATTGCCAAGTAGAAAAATTTAAAGCTACCTATAATCTGTAAGCCTCCCACCCAACACTTTTGAGTTATCCCAGCTTTCTGGACTCAGCCAACATATTTTATAAATGTGTTTGATTGAAGCCTCATGTTTCCCTAAAATGTATAAAACCAAGCGCACCCTCATGACCTCGGGCACATGTTCTGAAGACTTCCTGAGGGCGGTGTCATGGGCCATGGTCACTCATATTTGGTTCAGAATAAATCTCTTGAAATACTTTACAATGTTTGACTCTTTTCGTCGGCAGGAACATGCAACTGAGACTTTACCAAGAACTCTGAAAAGTGGTTACCAGGTTCCAGATGTGTTTGGCTTCTATCTCATATTCATAGGCTTTTTAAGAAGTATAAAGACATAATGGATTTCTTAAACTAATAAAACTGCTAATATAAGTTTAAATCAATTTTTACCGTATGTTTGAAAAAAAGTAAATACTGGTTGAGAACATAAATTTTGTGTTCATTTATTATCCCACTGAATAACAAACTTGTAAATCATAAATGTATATTACATAGTAAAACAAAGACTAGACCAAAATAGACCACAGTATCTTAAACACTTTCTAGGAATTGATATATGGACTCTATTATATATTCCTTTACAGAATTCCTGGATTTTTTTTTCTTTTTTTAATTTGAAAGCCAACTTAAAAACGAACAATAATTAGGTATATTTTGGTATGTCATTACTACTTGTATAACTCCAAATGACAAAATACGTAGGTAAAGAAATGCAGGCATTCTGCAGACCAGCTTTTGAGCATCCTTAAAAAGTCAGTAGGATATTAACTGTGTCTTTGAATAATGATTCACTGATAAAGAATTATAAACCAGCTGGGCATGGTGGCTCACGCTTATAATCCCAGCATTTTGGGAGGCCAAAGTGGATGGATCACCTGAGGTCAGGAGTTCGAGACCAGCCTAGCCAACATGGTAAAACCCCAACTCTATAAAAAAACAAAAATTAGCCAGGCGTGGTGCCTCATGCCTGTAATCCCAGGTTGCAGTGAGCTGAAATCACACAACTGCATTTCAGCCTGAGCAACAGAGTGAGACTCTGTCTAAAAAATAAATAAATAAAATTATGAATGAAGCTCTTGGTTCAATTCTGTTCTCACGTTTGGGTAACTATTTACATATTCCTAGATGCTTTGAAGACATATATTTAAAATGCATGAAAATTCTAAGGCTCTCAGG